CCCTCCTTGCCGCCTGGACCCCAGACCAGGTTCTGCAGTGCTTCGGTGAGCTGGCCGCCACCCACAACCACAGCATCCCCCTGCAGCAGCTGCAGGCTTTCATCCAAGAGCACTTCCAGGCCGTGGGGCAGGAGCTGCAGTCCTGGACTCCTGAGGACTGGAAGGACCGGTAGCTCCTGGACAGGAAATAGGAGGGGGCCCTTCAGACAGGCCTGCCCGCCTGAACCCTGTGTGGTCCGTGTTCTTCCGGTCTCCAGTTCCTGCAGAAGATCTCGGACCCCAAGCTGCGAGCCTGGGCAGGGCAGCTCCACCAGCTCTGGAAGAAACTGGGAAAGAAGGTGTCCACTCCTGGGTCTCAGCCCAGGGGATGGAGCTGGGAGAGGGGGATGCCAGCTTGGGGCCCCATTGCCCTTAGAGCACAGACAGGGACGTACTTTCTAAGAAGACAGCCTCCCACCCACTGGGTCCTTGAATGGAGCTCTCTAGGAAGAATTTCTGGAGGGGGTGAAGGGAATGTCTACTTCTAGCTTCTCACCTCCTCCCTGAAGCCCTCACCATCCTCCCCTACCCCCACCTGCCACCTCCAGGCTGCCCACCTAGGCTCTCTCTTCCCGGAGCTAATCAGGTCAGGACTCTGCTCAGGAACAGTTGCCACTGCTGATTGTGGGCTGTGGTCAGTACGTTCTCTTAGACACTTTCTCTCCGTTGAGGCTCAGAGACAGCAGTGGTTTGCTCAAGGCTGCACAGCACCTGTCCTCCCAGAGGATGGGAGCCCTGGGTCTCTGCCCCTGGCTGGGCGGTGGCAACAGAGATGGCGGAAGGGGAGTGGAGGAAACGGTCCCCCTGCCTGGTCCTGATACTGGCCGCTGCCTGGTGAGCCCCTGCCAGGGCCGGGCTGAGTTAGCAGGGACTCCAGAGGCCGGCCTGTGGGGCCGAGCAGACCTGGCTTGCGGCGGCTCCGGCCTTGACCAAAGCCACACGGCTGACCAGCAGCAGAGCCAGAACTCATGCACCGGCCGCCAGGGCCTCCACACGGCGGGGCCTGTGGGCTCCCTGTGCCCTCTGTCCCGACTGCAGGTGAAGCCAGAGGTCCTCAGCCACCCGGAGCAGTTCTCTCTGATCTACTCGGCACACCCCTTCATCGTGCCTGGCGGGCGCTTCGTGGAGTTCTACTACTGGTGAGCAGCCAGGCCTGCAGGCCGGGAGTCGGGGAGCCCGGGGCCAGCGGGCTGTCCCGAGCAGAGGGGGGCACCCTGACTGGCCCGGGTGCACAGGCCGGTGCGCGAGCTGTCCGTTTCCCCAGGGACTCCTACTGGGTGATGGAGGGGCTGCTCCTCTCTGAGATGCCCGGGACGGTGAAGGGCATGCTGCAGAACTTCCTGGACCTGGTGCAGATGTAAGGGGGGGCGGGCCCCTCAAGGCTGGGGCGGAGAAGGGGGTGCCAAGGGCTTGGCGCTGGATTGGCCTTGGCCTTCGCCGCTGGGCAGACGCACCTCAGCCCGCGTCCTTCCTGGCAGCTACGGACACGTCCCCAACGGGGCCCGCGTGTATTACCTGCAGCGGAGCCAGCCCCCCCTCCTGACTCTCATGATGGACCGCTACGTGACCCACACCAACGACACCGCCTTCGTCCGGTGGGCCCCCCAGCCCCCCTGCTGCCGCGCAGGCCGCCCTACCTGGGACCTCCCAGGGTGCGACTGAGGGGCCGTGCCTGGGCTGAGGCGGTGCCTGGCTCCACCCCAGGGACAACATCGGGACCCTAGCCTTGGAATTGGACTTCTGGATGGAGAACAGGACCATCTCTGTGAGCTCGGGTGGGAAGAGCTACGTCCTGAATCACTATGCTGTCCCTTATGGGGGACCCAGGTAAGGAGCCGCCTGCCAACCTCTCGGTCTCTCGTTATTCACTCTGGTCTGAGGGCCATGACTTAACACTGCCTCTCGGATGCTGATACTGAAAGCCCTGGGCAATCCAGGGCCCACGAAGGGCAATCCAAGGGCAGTTGAAGCAACATGGCCTAGCCTCCAGCTTGCACTTAGAGGGCTCCTAGTGCCAGGATGCCCACTTTCATCTTCCAGGCCAGAGTCTTACAGCAAAGATGCTGAGCTGGCAGACACATTGCTGGAAGGTGAGCAGTAACAAGGTCAGGGATCGGGGTGGGGCTGGGAGCCTGGTGTTGGGTGTCAAGCTCTGGCCCCCCCTTCCCCTGCTGCTTTGTCCTCACAGGGGACCGGGAGGCTCTGTGGGCTGAGCTCAAGGCTGGAGCTGAGTCTGGATGGGGCTTCTCTTCACAGTGGCTTGTCGGAGGCCCAGACCCTACATCTCTCAGCAGCATCCGGACCAGCAAATTCGTGCCTGTTGACCTCAATGCCTTCCTGTGCCAGGCAGAGGAGCTGATGAGCAACTTCTACTCCAGACTGGGTGAGCCAGCAGGAGGGGCGGCGTGGGTCCTACTTCAGCCTTGGCCGTGGAGCTGGAAGTAGGACCCTGAGTGAAGGGCCTCCAGCCTCCTAGCCCGCTCCGTACCTCACCCCTAGGGCAAGAGTACACATGGAGCCCACTCTCTCCACTCACCCTCCCTTTCTTACTGGGAGGGACTACTAGGGTCTGTGAGAGGACACCTGAGTCCACACATTCAAACTCCCTCCATTGTCTCTCCCCAGACAATTGCCCTCGGACCTGTCGGAGCTAGAGAAATACACATGGCCAGTGCCCTCCTAGGACGGCCCCGGGAGCAGGCCAGTGCGGGTCCTGAGAGCCCTGCAGGGCCATAGCTCAGGAACTCCTAGTTCCTAGAGGCCAGAAATATGGGCTCCAGGTCTGCATGTTCCCTTGGTGTCAGGACTTCTAGCCCTTGGGGAGCACAGCAGGAGGAGGCCAAGGTTGACCTCTTTCTTGGAGGCATGGGACCCAAGGTCAGGCACCCCAGGTGTTCAGCCTAAAGACAGTGTCACCCCAGGGAACAACATCCAAGCCACAAAGTACAGAAATCTGTTGCAACAGCGCCTGGCTGCCATGAGAGCCATCCTGTGGGATGAAGAGAAAGGGGCCTGGTTTGACTATGACCTTGAGAACGGAAAGAACCACCTCGAGTTTTACCCATCTAACCTCACTCCTCTCTGGTCCGGCTCTTTCTCTGACCTGGACGCCGTGGACAAGGCCCTAAAGTTTCTGGAGGTGAGGGGGACAGCAGAGCGGGCTGGTACACTGGGGGCAGGACCACCTGCTCTCTCCCTGAGTCTGAACTAGGGACCTCTGGCAAGTGGCAGCCACCCCCTCCTGCCCCCACTCTGGGTCTGAGCCTGCGGGTCCCACTGGAGCCACTAGGGGGCAACTGTGAGCTAAAAAGACAGAAGCCCAGGAAGGGGGCCATCTGGCTTGAGGAGGACCCAGCCTCTCGGCTCTTCATCCAGCCCCCACCCACAGTCCTAGAAATGTCTGGAACCTTCTAGGACAGCCAGATCTTGACCTACCGGTACGGGATCCCGACCTCCCTCCGGAAAACAGGCCAGCAGTGGGACTTCCCCAATGCCTGGGCCCCCCTGCAGGACCTGGTCATCAGAGGTAGGGAGTAGGGAGGTGGGGATGGGGCATATCCCAGGGCCATCCCCCGCTTGCATCTGGAGGGTCCGCCCCCTGCTGCTGGGAAGGTGTGAACAAAGCACGTGGGGTCCTTCCCTGGCTCTTCTGGTCTCGTGGCTTCCCACTCGGCTGACCTTTGATAGAGGGAACCAGCCCTCCTTTCTCCCTCCAAAGCCAGGCCCTGGGGAAGGAGCACACTGGCTTTTCGTGTGACTCACGATGGAGGTCTTAGGGCCCGGGCCTCTTTCCCTCCTTGAGGAGAGTAAGGCTCTGGCCACCCCAGGGGACTCAGGGTCCTGCCTGGGGTGGGGTCTAGGTCTGGCCAAGTCTCCTTCACCTCGGGCCCAGGAAGTGGCTTTCCAGCTGGCTCAGAATTGGATCCGAACCAACTTTGAGGTCTACTCCCAAAAGTCAGCCATGTTTGAGGAGGTGAGCTGCTCCTGAGCCCAGAGCCTCCTGGGCTCCTCCCCACGGTGAGCTGGGGGGAGGCCAGGCTTCGCCAAGCCCAGGGGCAGTGGGGACGCCCGGTGGCCATTCTTGGGCACTGCAGGGGTCAGAGCTGCAGGCCAGAGTAGCTTCTCCCAAAGGGGCTCCCATCTCTTGCTCCCCCTGGAGGGCTGAGGTGGGGGGCCTGGGGGTGGTGTCCCACCTTAGAGTCTGTCCTGCTGTTCCCAGTGTGACATCGGCACCGGTGGTCAGCCAGGGGGCGGAGGGGGGCATGACGTTCAGGCGAGTGGGCCCACACCCTACGGGGAACTCCAGGGCTGGCTGTGTTGTCCCCACAACCGCCCATGACCTCCCCTGTCCGGGCCTCTGTTTCCTCCCACGTATGTGGGTCCCCAGGGAGGAGGCTGACTGGAGCTCCTTTGCACCCCTGGGGCTGGGCAGTTCTCGGGCCTCTGGGTGGGGAATCTCACAGCCCCTAAAAGGATTTGGGGCCTCCCCCAGAGATCTTGCCCCACTGACCCTGTCTCTCTCCAGGAGGGCTTTGGCTGGACCAGTGGAGTGGTCCTGATGCTCCTGGACCGCTAGGGTGACCGGCTGAGCTCGGGGACCCAGACAGCTTTCCTGGAGCCCCCCCACCCGGCCTCACGGCTGCCCTTCTACTCAGCCTCCCACTCAGCCTCCTGCCTCCTGCCACAGTGATGGGCCTCCCTGCCCCGTCTGCCTCATTAAACTTCTGCGTGAGTCCCTACCTTCGCCTGCCTCTTCATCTTCCATCCCCCACCCCCAGCCAGTCCTTGGAGTGGGGTCAGGGGAGGGACCTAGAAATCATGGGTTGGGCCCTTGTTCCTCCTGGAACATCATTGTCCCTCCTGGAACATCAGTAAGGGGGGTAAGTCCTGTTCTGTGGGGACACTTAGTTCTCTTACCCTCCTATTCTAGCCCCATACCTCATGCAACCTGGCTTCCCAGACATACTCCAAATGCTTTATTGTTCTGTTGAGATGCTTACAAATACTGAAAATCACCCAGCCCGGGGCCCAGCAGCCATGGCCCAGTGGTGGGCAGGGAGGTGGGCTTAGTGTTAAGGCATGAAGGGCCGAGGCCAGACAGCTGGTGGCCTGGTCCTCTGCTCCCCATTTCTGTCACCCTTCCGAGGCTGAAGGGAGGGCAGCCAGACCTCAGGGTCCTCTCGCTCTGCTGCCTCCTCTCCTGCTCAGGCTCCCCCTGGGGCATCTGAGCAGCCCTCCACCCGTTAGACACTCAGCCCGTACAGAACCCGTCTAGCCGCCTCTCGCAGCCGCTGCCCTCCTCCTCCAGTCTCTGGATGTCCGAGCTTCGTCCCTTCTGGCTCTAAGCAAGGCACGAGTGGAAGGAGAGGGCTGGACTGGGGGGCCGGCAGGGAGGGGGGGGTTTGGTCTCTTCCCCTCCCCCCCCAGCTGGAGAGATGGCGGTACGTACCCTCAAATGGGCCCACGGTTGAAGCATGGGCGGAGCCACAGAGTCACAGCCATGGGTATGTGACCATGGCGATGAAGCAGTCACTATGGAGATCAGGGGATGGGGTTGGGACCTCAAAGCTGACACTTGAGGTCTCTGGCCCTTGAACAAAGTAATAACAAAATTGCGGGGGAGTGGGATTTGAGAAGTACACCGCCTGAGCTGCTCCCCCACTCCGGAGGTGGCTCTCCTCAGCCCCCAAGGCCCCTGCAACGGGGGGCTGAGGCAAGAGGGGATCTTTGGCAGATTCTGGTACCATCATTTGTCCTTTGAGAAAGCGAACCCAGGCTGGGGAGCGCAGGTGCCAGGTCAGAGCTTGAGGCCCCCTCTGTGCCAGTTCCGCAGCCTGGGGCAGGACCCTGAAGGGTTATTGCAAATTCTGAGTTCCCGGGAGCCTCCCCACTTTTTATCTGCTGGCTGGTTCTTTAGGGGGCCTGAGCTCAGACATTCACAGGACCCACTCCTTAGAACAGTACCAAGGCTTGTACAAGGGCTTTGGGAGCACTCCTGCGCGGCCTGGGGCCCAGGCTGCGGCTCTTCTCCAGGGGCCGAGCCGTGCAGCAGGTGGGCTGGCCTGAGGGTCCAGAGGCCCACGCCATGACTGGTGTGGTCAGTTCATGAACTGAGTGTAGCCCTCAGCTCCGGTGACGATGACATCCATCCAGATGCGCATGGCCTCTGCCGACGGCGCCACCATGTAGTACAGCCGGTCATGGGTCTTCACACAGAAGGTGAGGGCTGGGTTCGGGCTCTGCCCCGGGAGAGAGGAAGGTGTAAGACAGGGCTCACCTCTGACATTCCATCTGCCCTTTGCCCTCCCTGGCTCCAGGGTGCCCTGGAGCTCGAGACTGAGTCCCCAACAGGCCCCAAACCTAGTCCCCACCCGTCAAGGGGGCCCCGGGCCGAGATGTTCCCCTCCTCACACCTGGGCCGTCCCTGGACCCTGGCGGGGCCCGTACCCTGCCATGGGGGCGGGGGGGGGAGGGGAGGCTCCATTTCTGGGCACCCCTGGGCACAAAAGTATCAACAGAATCAGACACAGAGGGCTACTCCAGTGAGGACCCAAACCTCCTCTCGGCACCAGAGGGGCAGATGGAAAAAGCTACGACCGGGAGGCTGGGCCCAGGACCCCAGAGGAGCAGAGATCAGGGCTGAGGCGGCACCAGAGGCTTGCGGGGAGGCTGCTTTGCATGAGGGCAGAGGGCCCAGGCTTCAAACGTGTCCCCTTTATCGATCCCGTCAGCCCAACCCCGTCCCTGAGAACCCCTTCCTCCCCGCCTCAGCCATCCCTTCGGCGCCGCCCGCCTCCCCACAGGCCTCTCATCTCAGGAGAGGGGGCAGCGAGCCCCTCAGGGGCTCCCTGCAGCCCCCGCTGCTGCTCCCTCAGGCCCGGGGAAGGGGGCTGGAGGGGAGAGTAAAGGGGTCAGGGGCCAGGAGGGGACAGGAGGCATTATTAATGTGCAGTAGTTCTGGTTACAGGTAGGTGGGGAGGGGTACCTCAGTCACCACAGGGAAGCTGAAAAACCTCTTCTGGGAAGGGGAGAGGGAGAGAGCGAGAGAGAGTTTACAAAGAGACCGAGGAAGGGGTCCAGGACTCGAGAAGACAGGCTGCTGGGCCCACCCCTTCCCCTGCGGCCCGCCCTCACCTTGGCTGCACTGCGCAGGTGGTCATAGTACACTTCCTCGATGGCCTGGAAGTAGATGACCCCCTTCAGCTTCGTCTCATGCTTGTCTGCAAAGAAAATAGGGCCGGGCTGAGGAGGCCCACCATCCCTCAGGCAAGGGGCCACCGATGGAGCTTCCCTGTCTGGGAAAACGGGCTGATTCCCAGGACTCCAAAACAGAGCCCAACAGGGAGCCCTGAAGACATGGCCCGTGCTCAGCCTTGCTCAGAATTAGAGAATGCAAAATAGAACCTCACTGAGATAGCACTTCTCACCTGTCAGAAGGGCAAAAATATGCAAAAAATAAACACGCTCTGGGCAAGTTTATGGAGAAACAGGTGGGCTAACAGATGACAGGTGGGGTATACAGTGGTAAACCCTTCGGGAGGATTTGCCCGAGTCTACCAGAATGAGAAAGGTGTTTGTCCTCTGAGCCAATGATTACACTTACGAACATTTACCTTACAAATAACAAACTTACGTGATTGTTCACCACAACGATATTTGTAGTTTGGAAACAAACCAACTGTCCCTCAAATAGAGATTGATTAATAAATTAGAGTTTAGCACAGGATGGGATACTAGACCTCTGTTTGTTAAATGACAGAGAAATACCTCATAGGGGTAGGGTAGAAAAAATACATATAGATTCAGAAATACACCCTTCAAATGTATCCGATATATTTGCTATAGAAAGATCTGATCTAATGGCAGTAAAACAACATATCGTATGCCATTTTTTGTGTAAGGAAAGGAGTAAGAATCTCTGCATTTGTTTACATTCTAAAGAAACTACGCAAGAGATTAGGAGCGTAGTGAGGAGTTGTGAGTAGGAGCATTAATTCTCAATGTAAACCCTCTTATGTGTTTTGATTTTTGAACTGTAGGAGTGCGTTTACCTATTCAAGTCTAATAGTAAAAACCGGAAGGAAGGATGTCGCATCCGGAGGCCGGTGGGGAGACAGGAAGGAGCGGGGCCGACAGCAGAGGTGACCCAGCCGGTGGGAAGGGACAAGGCACTGCCAAGGGAAAGCCCAGGGCCTGGGCCGTCTTGTGGCAAACACTGCTCACACCCGAAAGGTCACACCGTCAACTAAGCTCACGGTGACAGCTGACAGGCTGCCCCTTGGGGTGCACCCTCACCCCCGTGTCATTTCAGGCCTGAGTCCCTGAGCCGAGAGCTACGGCCTCCTCCCGTGCCCCCGCCCCACCCTCTGCCCCTTCAACTCCCCTTCCCTAAGGACAAGGTGGTGAGCTTCTTCAGGCGAATTGAATCCTGCTGTCTCAGCCCGCCAGCCTCTCTGCTGCTCCCTCACTGGGACCCTGCCGCCATCTTGGCTTGGCAAAGGCTGTTTACAGGCCACCGCCCACACCGCCCTCTGGTCTGGTCTCATGTCCTTCCCCGGCACCAGCCCCAAGTTCTCTCCGGCCAGGCGGAGCTTCTCCTGGGCCCTTCGCTGTGGGCTCTGTGTACACTGGAATGGTCTCCATTCCCTTGGCAAACTCCTAAGTGGTCTTCAAGACCCACTGCAAATGGGACCACTGTGGTGCCCGGTCACACGCTCCTGGGCTCCCACAGCACGGACATCCCTCTGTAGAACTGACTCTGCCGAATCTGAGCCCTCCTCTGCCCGTGCACAGGTCTCCCTCCTCCAACAGCAGCAACTATGTGCCTAGCGCACAGTAGGTGCTCAGTGTTGAATCAGTGAGTCCGAGGCACTGGCGTCACCAGAGATCAGAGATCCGTCTCTTAGGAACCTATCCTCTAATGGGGAGGAAAGCACACACATATGGGCGTTTATGAGCTACGCGACCTTGGGCATGGCTGGGAACGGCAAGGGTGCACCTACACGTCCGAGGCAGTCATGAGAAGCAGGTGGTTGGCACAGCGTCTGGCACCTGCCGGAGCCTCTGTGATCACAGAGCAGACAGAGCCTCTCTAAGGGTTCTATATGACAGAGGGCAGGACCCGTTCCCGGTGAGGCAGGGCCAGGGAAGGCTTCGCAGACGCTGTATCTGACCTGGACCCCGTAGAATAGAGGGGTGCCGCCAAGTTAGTGGGAGGAGGGTCCAGGCCAGGGCAGGGAGAATGGCAAGTTCAAGGCAGAAGCAGGCAAGTCACACCCAGGGCCCCGATCAGGTCCCCGGCCCATCTCCATCGGACACTTGCGCTTGGGACAAGGATGCAGCCCCACCCTGCTTCCCTCCAATAGCAGCTCCTTCCCACCTCTTCCTTCGCTGGAAACCGCATCAGCTCCAGCCCCCGCGTCCTTATCACCCACGTCTCCTCATCTTTTGCCATCTGGCTCCCGCTCTGGACGGAAGGGCCTCTGGGTCCACGTTATTCTTGGCCTTTCTGCAGTGTCCCTCATCGCTGGCGACACTCCCTGCCTGCAAATGCCGGCTCCTCTGGCTGGCTTCCCTCCCCGTTTCCGCCCCTCCGTAGAATGTGATCTTCATTTCACTAACCCTCAGGAAGCTCGTGAATGCCCAGCGCCAGCGCAGCACCTGGCCTCTGGCTTCCCACCTCCTGCCCTCCCCCTTTGGCAGCCCCTCCTCCTCCTCCTTCCCCAGGGTTCAGCCCTTTCCCTCTGCTCTGCTCTGAAGTCCAGCCGCCTGGGTTCAGTTTTGGCTCGGCAGCTTAGCAGCTGTGAGACCTTGGGCAATTTATTTAACCTCTCTGAACCTATGTTCCTCATCTGTAAAATGGGTATAAAATAGTGCTTCCCGCACAAGATGATGATGAAAAGTCAACGTGATGATACATGCACAGTGCATAGCACAGCACCCAGTTCATGCAGCGCTCAGTAAGTGTGATCTGCCATTACTATTACTCCAGCACAATCAACTTTAACCCTGACCTTTCTCCTAAACTTAGGTGTCCCTGGGGCACTTCAACCTCAACATGCCTAAAATGGAATTCTTCTCCCCAGGCCTGTTTCTCTCAAATGCCCACAAAGTCCCTTCCAGCCCAGGTGGAAACATGGGGACACATGGGCCCCTGCCTCTCCTGCCTCGCACAGCCAGGGCCCAGGCAATCAGGGAAGGCTTCTTGGAGGGGGTGAAGCTTGGTTAGGGACCTGGTTAGACGGGAGGCAGGCACTCCAGGCTTGGGTGTCTCTGCCACCAGACACTTAGGCCCGCTCCTTCCAGGCTCTGAACAGGATTGCTCTCCCCGGCTTTATGGCTGGATGGAGCTGGGTGACTGCCTGAGCAGCCCCACTAGTGACCTGAGGACAGACCCCAGCCAGGGCATTTAATGCCCATGCAAGGCGCAACTGGGCTTCCCTTTACTCTCTGCCACTGTGGCCTGCAATGTTCTAAAAATGCATGCTCTCGAACAAAGGGAGCACTGACGCAGGGGGGAGCAGAGCCCCCACCAACCCACAGGGCACACGGACTCGTAACTGGTGAAAAAGGAAACTGCGGTTTCGAGCCACTGGGATCTCAGGACTGGTTGGTCCGCAGCACACCCTGGCCTCTCCCGACCTGCGTGCCACACAGCATCCTGCACTCAGCGTGGGGACCGTCCAGAGGGATCTCCAGGGACGGGCAATTACGCTGGAGGCAGGGTGGAGAGCAGAAGGAGCAGAGCGCGCCAGGGGGCCTGTCCCCGGGGCTGTCCCGCGCGCTCCCTGGCACCGCTCAGCTGCTTGTCTTAGAGCCTTTGAGGGAACGTGCCCAAGGCGGAATCCACAGGCCTCCACACGCCCACGGAGCCTGGGCGTCCCCTACAGCACACCCATCCTGCCTGGCTTTCCCAGTCTGTCCACGATCTGCCTCCCTGACCGCAAGCTCCAAGGGACAGAGCCGTAGGCCCCCAGCTTGTCACCAAGGCCTCAAACAGTGCCCAGAGCTTACTCCATGCTCGGTAATATTGCCGAATACGTGAACGAGCAAAAGCTGAAGGCGGACCAAGTACCGTCTGTACCCCGGCAGGGAGGGGAGGACAGGCCCCAGCTCAAGCCCCCGGCCCCACACTGGTAAGCCTGGCCTCCCTCCAGAAGACCAGCTGTCCCGGGTGACAGCCCAAGGCTCCGGGCTTCCGAGACGGTCTGACGGGAACTCACCCACGTAATAGGAAAGGGTGCGCTTGAGCCGGTCGAAGACAAACCAGCGCTTCTTCCATGATTTAATCTTGCCGCCCATCTTAACCAAGTAGCCGCGGCAGACCTGGCAAGAAGCAGGAGTGAGGAAGGACCCGGCGGCGTAGCCCCCAGACCTCTCCTCCCGGAGCGGCACTATAAAAGCCGTCGCCTGTGCCTGGATTTTCGGGGGACTGTGGCCCACAACGCTTCGGGCCAGCACACCAGGTCCCGGGACAGAGACCACTCGTGTTAGGGCAGGAACTGGGGCCGCTATTCCGAAGGCCCAGGAGGTGCCCAGACTACAGGGTCCTCTCCCCAGCACCCTGGGCCCACACAGGCCTCGCACCTTGCTGCTGAGCACCACGTGCAGGCAGGTATCGACGCCGTGGCCCGACGACTCAATGTGGGTCTTCAGGTCGAAGTCCTCCTTCCGGATTGGCAGGTAGCGGGTCAGAGGCCGTGCCTGGGGACAGAGGGCAGCGTCAGCAGTCTCCTCTCTTCCCCGCATCAGCCCCCTGTCCAGGTCCCTTGGCTTCAGTCCCGAACCCCTACTGCTGCCATCGGTCCCTCCCCCACCCCGGGGCTGTCACTCTGGTTTCCGAGCGCTTGTGGCAAAAGCAGAGACCTAGCGGGCCTGCACTGATGCAACCCCGGCCCGGGCAAACTGCTGAGTGGCTCCATGCCTCAGTTTCCCCACCTAGGACCAAGACACAGCCATCCCTGTCTTCTCCCTGTCCCTGGTCTCCCTCCTGGGCTGAATGGAATAAAGCAAGAAGCCAGAGGTGGGCAGGCTCTGGGAAACAAAGCCCAATAAGCAATCTGGCCTATGACTTCTCATCGGACCATGTTTGGATCACATGGCCTCTCTGGGCCTCCCTTTCCTTATACGTAAAACAAGGGTTTTGAACTAGATCATCACTAAGGTCTGTTCCATCTCAAAAATCCTGATACCAGCTAGACCTTTTCTCCTACTCTCCCTCTACGTTAGAACGGCCGGAAAAGGAAACATCATAAATTAGAGAAAAAAACGAAACGCACAACTTCCGGGAGGTACCCCGAAGACGGGCTGGCTGTGCCCCCTCCTACAGCAGACACCGGTGCCCCTGCAGCGACACCTGAGCCCCAGGGCAGGGGGCTGTAGGGGAGAGAGACGCAAAGTGGCCACGGGCTGGGGCAGGAAAGGGGACCTGGACTCCTGACGGAGAGGCCAAGCATGGAGGTAAAACTCAAGAGTTTCTGATTATTTTTTTATTTCTATTTTTTTGAGAGAGAGCAAAAGAGTGAGCGTGAGCGGGCAGAAGCAGAGGGAGAATCCCAAGCAGGCTCCACACTCAGGGCAGAGCCCGATGTGGGGCTCGATCTCATGACCCCGAGATCACGACCTGAGCTGAAATTGCGAGTCAGACGCTTAACTGACGGAGCCACCCAGGCGCCCCCTGGTTATTTCTTAATTCCCAAACCCAATCCGGGTGGCCTACCCCTTAGAATTCATGCTGTTGCCTCACGGGACATCAGGGACCTGTGGTCGCTGGTCACTGCTGGGGAAGATCCCACAGGACCCCCACCCTGTGGGGGGGGGCTTTATAAGACTCAGCAGGAAGGACTAGCCTGAGTCCCATAGGCTCTCACATGGGGAGGGGGGCAGGATCTGACACAAGAGACATGGGTGGAGCTCCCTATACAACCTAACTTCTCCTGCCACCTTCAACTGTTCTGCTTAAATCTGTGTAAAGAAAAAGCTCAGGGGCGCCTGGGTGGCTCCGTCGTTAAGCGTCTGCCTTCGGCTCAGGTCATGATCCCAGGGTCCTAGGATCGAGTCCCACATCCGGCTCCCTGCTTGGCAGGAAGCCTGCTTCTCCCTCTGACCCTCTCCCCTGCTTGTGTTCCTGCTCTCGCTGTCTCTCTCTGTCAAATAAATAAATAAAATCTTTAAAAAAAAAAAAAAAAAGAAAAAGCTCAGGATTCCTGTCCCAGAACGAGTACGGTTCTCTCTTGGAGATGTAAACAGCAAGTCAGAGTGACACCATCTGCTGGTGGGGGCCTGGAGCCCCGAGTGTGGTGCAGTGAGGGCCAGGACAGCCAGGAAACACACACACACACACACACACACACACACACACTCGCACACACCACACACCACACCACACCCTCCCACCACACCCCCCCACATGCACACCCCAC